AACTCTGTTGCTTGTGAAGCTCGCACACAAGAATTTCACTCACATGTGCTGTACCAATGTACCTGCACATGTGATGTGACAATAAAAGTGATTTGATTTAAAATAGTTTAGTAATTTAGGGTAAATTTGTAGTTTATCATTAACAGGTACACAGTGGAAAGAAACTATATCATTCGGATTGTCAACATTGGAAGGAATTACTTCCTCTTCTGCCTTTCATAGTCATGTGCAAAATACAGCTGTATAACTGTGTCCAGCCCCTGGCGTGCGCACTCACAAATATGGCTGAGTGTAATTGGAGTTATGTGCAGATGTATTTTACCTCCACAAACAGCCGAGATGTGGTTTGCAATACATGTGGCAAGACAGTGAGGTGTTGTGGCAACACCACTAACCTCGTGAAACACCTCACAGTAAATCAGATCACAGAATATGACGAGCGTATGTTGAGGCGAACTGAAGAGGAGGACAGGGACAGGTGCTGCTAGGGCGAGACAGACGTCTCTCACTGAATCCTTTAGTGCTGCAGGCAGGCAACATGTTCAAATAGGCACAACTTCAGATTCTTTATTTCTATATGATGAATTCTGCATTATTAAGTGATAAGAACAAGTAATATGATGTCCTGTAATCATGATGACACTATATTTTGAGATACAATAAATAAAGTAAGTTTTTGTACAAAGTATCGGTATCGGATCAGTATCGTCGATACCACCCTGAATACTTGGAATCGGATCAGAAAGGAAATCAGTGGTATCGCACATCACTAGGACCCAAACGCTGGACTCACTGGTAGGTGAAGGCTGGTGTTTATTGCTGACCGAAATGAACGAACAGAACTGAAGCAGGAAATGGCTGGCTGGCTGGCTGAAGGAACTGAACATACAACAACCTAACAGCGACAACATCAATGACACGACGGTGAACGAGTGGAAACAGAAGACTTAAATACACAGACTGATGAGGATGCTAATGAGAGACCGGTGGGTACACAGCTGAACATAATCTGGCTAACGACACATGAGACGAGCTGACAGGAAAAACAGGAAGTGAGAACAACATGTGGCAAAATAAACTGAACATGACGAAACTGAGAACACTGGGTCAATGACGCAGGAAACCTGACACCTGTGTCCTTTTCATTACTGAGTGAAGCAGTCAACCACCTGAAACCCACAGATGTACTCTGGATATTGTTCCATCTCGTTTACTGAAAGATGTTTTTGACATCTGTGGGTATGTGTTTGCTGTCAATAGCAGTCTTCAGTCTGGGTGTGTCCCTGCTGACTTCAAACATGCTGTGGTGGAACCTATGCTTAGGGTTAGGGTTTTAAATGACCTTTTAACTTTTACTGACTTGGGAGATTCTGCCATTTTAATACCAGTAATAATAGTACACAATGTACACAGTGGGTCATGGACGCTGCAACCTCATCTCGCCTCAGAGCCGCTGTCTCCATCGGGTGGGAAGTAAGTATGGGAGGAGGCGTTGGATCGGGGGGAAGGGAGGGAGGGTGGTGAGTGCGTATCAGTATCAGTGTGCATGTGTGCATGTCGGGATGTGTGTCCTGAGTTCAGCCTGAGAAAGTGTCCTTTCGCCTGTTAGGCAAAGATCAACAGTGCGCAGCCTACGCAGGTGACCTTGAGGAATAGGGCAGAGAGTCTGTTCGTTCTCATGTCTCTTGGAAGAATATTGTTGTTCCTCTCGGCGTCAACCTTCAAGCAGTTGGTGCCGTCGGGGGTGGGGGTATAGCCGCATGAGAGATGTTAGTATGTGGTCTAGGGAGAACAAACTGCATCGATTTTTCAGTCATTCTAATGTCCATCACTGGTCTCCAGGTGTATCTCTCTTTTAAGAGCCATGAGCTCCTCTAAACGAATGTTTCCCAGATTTCATCTGGGAAACATTCGTTTAGAGAACAAGAGCAAGAATGAGATGCTCTCTCAGATTTAAAGTCAGACGAGACGAGACAAGGACATAGAAGCATAGAAGGGAAGCTAAGGGAGGGAGAGGGTGGAAGACGCATCCGACTCCTCCGAGAGCCAAGAGGAGGAGTATCAATCAATCAATCAATCAAAGCTTTATTCGTCACATGCAGGTTGCCCTGCAGTGAAATGGGA